TTTATAAAATTTTATTTTTTACAATGAGATTCATATTGTACATAAGTATATTTTATTGAAATATAATACTTCATCCGTCCCATAATAAACTATTCATTTTTCCATTTTAGTATGTCCAGTAACAAAATATCAATTTTTTTTTTTAGTAAATGTACTATCTATCTAATATTACAAATACCCTTACAACTTTCAATATATTACACAAATACTATTACATTTATATCACACAATACTGATAAGGTCATTTTAGTCATTTCTACTTTATTCTTACTATATCCTAATATAATATTAATATTTTTAAAACTCCATGCAAAAAGCAAATAGATATATAGTTATGAGACAGATGAACTATTAAAAATATTTAAATATATATTTTAAATTTCTTTTAATTATTAAATGATTAATCTATACTATCTAAATTCTTGTGTTCAAACAAATGACACCATCTTTGCGGAGACAGAGATAGTATTATATTTGAATAAAAACTCAAAAATATAATTATATTATTATTTTTAATTTATATTTTATACTTGAATTAAAATTTAAAATTATAATTGAGACACCAAATTTAATAGGACTATCTAAATCTTTTATTTATATTAAAATTATTAAATATAATTTATAAAATTTTAAAATAAAAGATAAATTATTTTTTTAGTTCCGTATCTAACTTTCTTTATCATTTTAGGATTTTAAGTGAACCATTTCTGAAAATAGTCCCGTAAATAATTTTTTTTAGCTAAAATGGTCCTACGGTGCCGGACTCGCCAAGCTGACAGCTGTTGCTAGCGTGGCACTGATGTGGGGTCTACGTGGCCATGACATGTCAGCCGCGTCAGCGTCATCTCAGCAACGGCGGGACAGCGTGGCGAATCCGGCACCAGAGGACCATTTTAGCGAATTTTTTTTACTTACGAGACTATTTTCATACAAAGTCCACTTAAAGTTCTAAAATGATAAAGTGGATCACGTACGAGACTAAAAAACAGTTTATCCTAAAATAAATTGTAAATGCAAATAATTTAATAGTAGATTGTAATTTTATTTTTAATTTATATATTATCCTTAAATTAATATTTTAAAATAGAAATAGCCAATTTTTTAAACATATTTCTTTATACTTTAATTTAAAATATTTAAATATAATTAATAAAATTTAAAAATAAATTGTAAGATTTATAGATAAATATAATTATATTAACAAAATGTCATTTTGAGTAATTTTTTAATTCTATTAAATCCGATAAAAAAAATTGGTTTTATAATGATTTTTTGGCTTCTGCATCTACTTCTACTTTTGGTTTCTGGCTATTTTTAAACCAATTCTAATTGACACTCAATTTACATTCTTCTTCCTAGTCTTCTTATGTATTCTTTACTTAAATCAAAATAAATATATAAAATAAACTTTTTTTTTTTTTTATTTATCAAATTTGATAATTGACGATAGGTTCAATGGCAACACAACAACTGATTGTCCAACAACTGATTGTCCAGTTAATATAGTTTACAACAAAAAAATCTAAAATTATAATGAGTTTGTTTGATCTTAGTTTGAAATTAATTTGAAATTAAGTGTTTGATTTAAATTTTTATTGAAATATTTTATGAGAAAAAAGTAATATATTTTTACTAAGAACCGTATCGAATGAATTATATTAATTTAAATTTGAAATTACAATCAAACACGTGTTTGGATTTCTTGGGTGTTAGGTTTGAGTTTTAAATATTAAACTTTTGAATTAAAATAGTTACTTGATCGGTATAAACATTAAAAAGGAATAATATATTTGTTATGAAACTTAGAGACAGTTGACATTAGTTACATAAACTTTATGGATAAAAAAAAAAAAAAAAAAGATTTAGGCATGAAAAAATTTCGCTACAAATTTCGTTACAAAAATGCTACTCCCCCGCCCTCAAAAGGGGCCATTTAAAGTTTTGTAATATATTAAAAAATAATAGTATTTTATTAGTTAGTAGAAGTGTGTAATAAATTTTTAACATTTTTGCCCATTTGACTTTATGTATAAAATAATTGTATCTATAACAATATATTTGTAATTTAAGTAAAAATTAAAAGATATTTATTACTTTCCTAAAATGTGAAAACGATATTTGTGAATTGAACAAATAAAAATAATAAAAAAAAGTGTTTTGGATTGGGATGAAAATGTGATATATTTAATAAAAAATTAAATTTTAATATAATATAAAAATATAAATTAAATATTTGATTTGGTTGTTGTATTAAAAATTCAATTGTGGGTTAAATGTAACTATTTGTGCTATCAGTTTGATTAAACCTATATTAAGTGATCTATAAATTTATTGGGCTTAAATGTATTTAGTAAGTGTAGACCTCCTCCAATATGCAGAAAACCCAGTAAATTATTAATTGGGTGATGGACCAATTAATAATAAGAGATATAAATATGGTTGTGATATCAGGTCTAGACGCAACATCCATTACGTTTCATATCTCACCATGGGAGTAACGGCAGAAACCCTAACGATTTTCTCAGGAGGAGTTGCGCCATAGGCTTGAAGAACACAAAATCTTCCATTATTTGCAGATCTAAGACTATGCTGAGGAATAAGGCTAGATTTATTTTACTTAATTTTTTTTTATCTCAATTATTACAATAAGGTAGATTTGGGCTTAGGTTAAATTTCTAATAAGTTCCAATATTCGTATGTCATGATTTTTTTTTTTTTTTTTTTTATAAATAATAAAAATATATACTCATTTTGTCCCTGTTGCAGGTGCTGAACCATCCACCCCACTATAGCGACAGTCACATTCTTTCACACAGGCATGATTTTCTTATCTCCTTCGTGGGGGAAATTATACTTGTTCGAGCATATATTCAAATTGGAGGGTATTTAGGATATTTCACAAAATATTTGGGTGGGCATCTCGAAACACCATCGATCGTAGAAATTATCTTGAAGTAAATTATAAATATTAAAAAATAATACTCTATCCGTCGTGTAAATCTGTGGTCATTTATCAAGTATGAATTTTAATAAAAGTGAATAATAATAATAATTTTTTTATAGTAAAAAAAATACAAAAAAATAATAATTTTTTGCTTAAAAAAAAAAACGAGAATATTTTTTTTTTATGATAATCCAAAAGAAAAGTGAGTATAAATTTGAACTATAGAGGGAGAGAGTAATATTTTATTACTCTACATTGTAGACACTATATTTTAGGAGGAGTGTAATTAGTAGATAATTAAGAATGTATTAGTGAAAATAATTATTTTATAATATAAATAATTATAAATTAAGATTAAGATAACTAATTAGTTTAATTAAAATTAAAAAATAAATTAAAATGTTTAAAATGAAATTAAAGTGTGTAATATTTTTTTTTAAAAAAAGAAAGTGACTAGAATGTGAGACGGAGGGAGCAGTTTTTTTGTCTTTTGTATTATATGTACTCTTAAGATTTTTGTAATAAATTTAAAAATACTTTGGAAGTATGTTAAATAATTTTAATATTTTTATTATTTGTATTTTATGTAAAAAATAAAAATATTTTGATATTAATATATAATTATTTTTACATTTTTTTAAAAAAACTTTAGATTGTAATAAATAACAATGATAAAAAAATATTTTAATTGAAAAAAAGTATAATATTTTATTTTATTAGTTTTTTTTTTTCCAAACACAAATGGTTTATTTTCCTTTTTTAACAGGTACAGACCAAGAATAAGAATAATAATATTTTTATAAAAATACACAGTTTTAAACATATATTTTTTACTCTTCAATTTATAAAGCTTTTAATAAAAATATAGTACTATTTAAATTTATGAAATAGTATGTTAAATATTATTTAAATTAAAATTTTAAAATATTTAAATGACAAAATATAAATTAAAAAAAATAATTCTAACACTAAAATGTACAACCAATTTTGAGTATTTAAACTACACGTTATTATCAAACCAAACAGGAGTTAAAATAATTCACTGAGCACGCCCTTCAGGTCATAGATTCAAATTCTCGATGTTTTAAAATTCATCTACTATATAGAATTTGCCTAGCGTGACTTGTCTTAGGTTTCGTTTGAAGTTTACCCAGACTATTATAGTATTACACAATACTAATGGAAGTTTTTTTTGTCATTTTTAATATAAATTAATATAAAGCTCATTTCGTCTACTAAATTTATTCTCTCTTTTATTTTTAGTCCATCCGTTAAATTTATGTCATTACTAATTTTGACAAAGTCAACAAATCAACGTTTAATTATTATCTTCCATTCAAAACAAATACCATTGACTTTATTAAATTATGTCTCTAATAACTTTCATTTTTAACTAAATTTCTAAAACTACCCCCAATTATCTACCATTTTTTTAATAAAAATATTCATTTTTTTTTTAAATTCCATGCCTGTCGGACCAAATTTTGCTAATTTTAATGGACGGAGGAATACTAATATTAAAAAAATTACGTATAAAAAATAAACAATACATTTTATATGAAACATAGGTACTAATGACGATAAATTATATAACATCGCATTGTGTTTGAATAAAAATGCACAAAACACCATATGTTTTATTTAATGCACAAAACCCCCTTGCGTTAAATTTAAAGTTTGCACGAAACACCCTCCTTGTACAAAACTTATGTTTGATTTTAAATAAAAACCTAAATCAGACATGTTTTTTATTTGAATTTTTTTTGAATAAAATAAATAAATAAATAAATAATCATTTATTTTATAAAAATTCAAAACATTTTGTATTTTTTATTTGTATAAAATTCGCATAATTTTGATCTTTATTTAAAATCAAATATCAATTTTCATGCTATAAATATAATATATGATATTTTGTGCATTTTTACTATATTAATATAAGGGGTATTATATAATTTAGCCGTACTAATAATAATAAATCATAGAGAAAGCAGCCAAACAAGACTTAACGGCAATTATTGTTATAACTACACTTCAACTTCAACTTCAACTTCAACTTTAATGGAGTTTTGTCCTAGTCTCACCTGACCACTTTCTCAATCAGCCGATCAAATTAACTAGTCTGTAATTAATCAATGGCTGGAATGCTCCCCGGAGTCGAGGCTGCCCGGAGACGAAGATTCCACCACACCTCTGCTACTAATCATTCTCATTCCCAAACTACTTCTTCTTCTTCTTCTTCTTCAGGCTGCTGCACCAGACGCTCCTCTGCTTTCTGCCTCTACGCCATTAGAGGCTATCTCACCTTCAATTCCTCTACGGTAGGTACAAAAATACATACATCTCTATCTCTATCTCTGTATCTGTGTTTAATTATTTAATTTAATTTGATGTCTGTGAAAAAGTGCAGACGACGACGACGACGACTAAGGGAACATTAATAAGCAGCAGTAGTAACGATGAGAGTGGCAGTGAACTTTGTGGAGCTGCCAGAGAAGCCAAGAAGAGGCTCGATCAGAGGTTACATATTCTACATCTACACACATCTTCCAATTCTCAACCAGAAAGGTACAAACTCATCTCATCTGATTTGGTTTCATCTTATGATCATATTTTGTGATTTCTTCTTCCCATCCAAAATTGATAATCTATTGGAACCTTAATTATTGCTTAAAATAAAAGTGATTGGTAGAGACCTGCCGGGCCTAGTTTGCATGATATTAGGTGCTGCTAAGATTAACCCTGTGCGTATTTTTTGGATAGTGGTTGCGGTTCCACGTTATAAAAAAAAATAAAAAATAAAATAAATTGCACAAAATTGCGTCAAATTGCATCAAATCCATATACTTCTAAAACTGTATCAAACTCTCTCGTGGTTTCAAAAACTCTGTGTCTAACCCCTTCATTTGACCTAAATGCGCTCAAACTATGAATAAATATTATAATATCAATTTCAAAACCCCTAAAATTACAAATATATTCATTTTTCTTTTTATATTTGGGTTAAAAAAATATAAATATATTAAAAAATAGTTATTTTTTTCAAGTTTTAATAGTTTATTTTTATTATTTTTTGAGGTTAAATATAAAAAAAAATAATGTATTTGTAATTTTAATGGTTTAGAAATTAAAATTCTAAAATTTATTCACAATTTGGACTCATTTAGGTCAAATACTCTTAAATAAGGACCGCCGAGGGGATTAGACGTAAAGTTTATGAAACTACGAGAAAATTTGACGCAGTTTTAGAAGTATAGAAATTTGACATAATTTCGTGAAACCGAATTTTGTATAATTTAAAAAAAAAAAAAAAAAGTGATTGGTAGAAAAAGATTGATGAATTAATAAGTCAAACATTTCATTTTAGGTACACTAACTAGGATTATTAGGTGTTGTAAACATTAACAATTTTGTATTACCTACCACTTCCTATACAAAAAAGGTGTGGTTAGAAATGTTGTGGTATTTACCTATGACTTGGATTTTTTGAAATAGTGATATTATAACAGAAAATAAGTATTTAATGGGGGATAAATTAAGTGTTAAATATAATATTTTTGCATATCTATAATATTTTAATTAAATTTGTATTTTGAATTTTATAAATTTGTAGAAAGATATTTTTTAATAAATACTACATAAATTATTTTGAAATCATAAGTAAACAAAGATAAATTATTTATTTAGTTGATTTAAGGATTTTAATTTTAATTTAAATAGTAATTTAAATATAGTATTTATGAAATTAGATAATAAATTTTATAAGAATATACAATAATTGTATATTAAAAAATTGAAATCAAATTTCAAATATATATATTTTTTCATTTTCATTCATTCGATTGTTGGATAGGATTGTTCTTGTTGGCGGGTTTTGTTCTCATTTCTCATCAAATTCAGAACAAATCTCCTCTTAATAATCACCAAACACGTGTATATTTAGACTCGAATTAAATCAGCATTCTAATAAACAAATATTTACAAAGAAAATCACACATATTTTAATATAATATATAGTAAATTATAATTTTGATTTCAATATAATATATTCTAACTCAATCGACAAATATTTAGAAAAAAATGTCATATATTAATATAATATATAACAAATTATAAACTTACATATAGTAAAATATAATTTTGATTTTAGCACGCAATAAGTATTAATACACTATATTAAATAGTATAGTGTACAATTACATGTAGCATAATATATACTGATTTTAGTATAAAATATAACTCACACAACATATATTTCTATATAAGGCAACATATAACATATATCTTGTGATAATTTACTAATTGTTTCAAATTAATGCGCTAACTTAGTAATATACTATTTGTGTTGTAATAATTTATTAATTATAAGTTAATTTACTGATTTGGTCAAATCAATGACTGCCGACATATTTAAAACATTAAACAAACACACTCTATGTATCTACATGATTAGATCAAAATTATTTCACTTTGGGTATGTTTCTTTTGCAAAAATTTTCAAAATTTTATTATTTGGACTCTGCGTTTTCAGAATCTCACAAAACATAACATCAAATATTATTTTTATATCAAACCTAAACCAAATTTTTTCCAAACTCATCAAAAGAAAGAAACCCTTTGTTTTTGGCAGCTTTGCGGAATCGAAAGCTGCTAGTTATCTTGGAAGGCCATTATTAATTCCAAAGGCGAAGAAGAAGAAAAATTGGCTAAATTTAACGAGATGGAAGTCGTCGGCGTCGTCAGAGCAGGAGGAGTGCGCAGTGTGCCTTGAGCTATTGCAGGGCGGGGGGCGAGGCAACACGACGGTAATGCAGGTGCCGTGCGGGCATCGGTTCCACACCGAGTGTCTTATGCCATGGCTTGAGGGCCGCGGGAATGCACATTGTCCATGTTGTAGGATGGAAATTTCGACTTAATTTAGAATATGTTTATTTGTACTTCATGACTTTTTGTGAGTGGATAAAATATACTCCCTTCGCCCCTTAAATAAGTATTCGTTTGTTTTTTACACGTAGTTTAAGATATATTAGTATTATATTAATATGTAGTAGGAATAAAGTAGAAAAAACTAAAATAACCTTATTAGTAATGCGTGATATAAATGTAATGATATTTGTGTAATATATTGTAAGTTGTAAGAGTATTTATAATGTTAGGTAGATAGTACAGATACTAAAAAATGAAATGAATACTTTGTTATGAGACGGACCAAAATGGAAAAATGGATAGTTTGTTATGAGACGAAGGGAATATTATTCTATCCGTAGCAATTGAAAGTACTCTTTTTGTCGTTTTGTCTCAAAAGTATTCATTTTCTATTATAAAAAAATAATCACACTGAAATCAAAATATCATTTAATTTTTTCATAAATTATAAACATATCGCTCTATACATATACATACTATGACACACCGGCGCAAGCCACGACCCCTCACATGTTAACACAAGTTCTGGACACTTCTCTCCTCACTAACGCACATCAGGGTCACTCATCCTCAAATTACTCTAGAGAAAGAACGCTTAACTCTAAATTCTTTTAGTATGACTCCCGAAAAGAAATATGCATATTGTTGACATGAGCAATCTATTCAATCTATTTAATTTCTAATCAACTTTGAATAATCTAATATTGACTCATCCACATATGGAAATTTGCTAAATAACTGTCCAACTCCGAAGTATCTCACATATATTTTATAAATATATAAAGTACTAAAGTAAAAGATATCCAAATTATCTAACACACTTCAATTAATCTACTATAGAAATCCAAAAGACTATTTGGATTGCGACGAAAACAATATATATTTATTAGTGCAAAAACTTTTTTACCCTCGTATTTTAATCTGATATGATGATATTTATATAAATGATGTTCGGTGGAAATTTATGATTTTTTTGTTTTTATGATATAGAAATCTATAATCACTACTTTTTAATACACTGCTACGAGTAAATAGATGTAAATTTAAAAATATTTATAATATATAATAAGTTACTTTATTAAAAAACTGAATATATATCTTAGAAGTAGAAAATAATATATATATATATAACTTATAAGTAGAAGGAATAATTATTTATTTTATGGTTTTAAATATATTTTTTTAAAAATATAATACTCCTATAAATTATTAAAAATGGATCATAATCTTCAACTTTCATACAGTAGTACTATTTTTTAAAGTGAAGAATATCAAAGTAAGATTATAAGAGAAATCTTGTAAGATTTTTCTTCTTTCTTTTCTTTTTTTTTTTAAATTTATTGGGATGGCCTTATATAATAAAAAATTGACACGTGGGCTGTAAAGTGTCGGGACAACTATGGTTACATGTGCGGTCGGGTCATTGTTAATTTTGATATACTGTGCTCTGACTATGACACTTACACTTTACATTTAAATAATAATAATTATTATTATAATATATATGTCTTTACATTATAATAATGCTAATAATTATAACTTACTATTTGTTTCAATATTTCCTCCCTCCTAAAAATATAATTTTATTATATTGGACATAAAATTTAAAAAATATTTATATTATATTGGTAGTCGGTAAAAAATAATGATAAATGACTTATTTATTCTTATAAATATATTAATGTAAAAAGTAGTGACAATTGTGTAATAATAATGAAAAAGTAGGGATAATTTTATGGTGATATAATTATTTATGGAAATGAGACTATTGTTTCGGGACGGACAAAAATGATAAACAAGACTATTGTATTGAGACGGAGGAAGTATAAAATACAGTGTGTTTTTTGTGGGTTTGAATTTTGAATTGAGATTTGAATAGTAAAAATTTTGAATGTGAATAATTATATGTATAATTGTTGAGCACAAAAAATAATAATAATAATGATAATGGTAGCAGGATCTTAAAGAAGGATGATCGGCCGATACGGAGGTCGGACAGGACAAAGTCGGGCACGGAAGATCGGACGTAATAAGGTTAGACACGGAGGTCGGACAGGACAAGGTCGGGCACGGAGATCGGACGTGATAAGGTCGGGCAAAGCAGAAGTATCGGCAGACGCGGAGGTCTGTCAAGACGAAGGTCGGGCAAAGAAGAAGTATCGGCAGACGTGGAGGTCTGTCAAGACGAAGGTCGTGCAAAGAAGAAGTATTGGCAGACGCGAAGGTCTGTCAAGAGGATAGTTTGTTGAACCAGTTGTCCATCTAAGGAGATAAGGCAAACAGAGCCGGTCGGTTGGTTCGCTGTCGGATGGTTCGCAGTCGGTTGGGCCGGTTGGATGGTCCGTAGTTGGTTGGCCCACGGTCGGACCAACTGAGGTCGGACGGAGGACGGCTGATACGGAGGTCAGTCGAAAGAGGAAGTCGGGCGAAGAAGGACGGCTGATACGGCGGTCGGTCGAAAGAGGAAGTCGGGCGAAGAAGAACGGTTATTACGCAAGTCGGACCAAGTGAGGTCGGACGAAGAAGAATGAGACGGACGATACGAGGTCGGACAAGAGATCAGATGGTGGTCGCTTGGTGGGGCGGCCAAAGATTTGTTTGGTCTAGCGATCAGTTAATCTCTGGATTGGTCGATTGGGTTATGCGGTTGGCGAGACGGTTAAAGACACGTGTCAATGAATGAGGAATTGGTGGGCGGTTGCTATAACCAACCAGGCGACGGTTCTGAAACGTTTTTTTTGAAGGAATATTTAAGGATTTGGATTTATTCTGGAAAGGCATCTTCAATCGACATCAAATTCAAGAGAATTGCTTTTGGGGATCACCACTTTATTTTCCAGTCTGTAGTTTTATTTTCCTATTTTATTTATGTATCCTACAGTGTTTAGAGATTCCTAATCTCAGGCACTAATTATATCAAATTCGAAGATAATTTTCTATTTTCATATTTTACTTTTTGTTATTGAAAAATTGCATCAACAATTTGGCGACCACAGTGGGAGAAAGACAATATTGCTGATCCTACGTCAACAGAGAATTTTACACGATTGAGGTTTGGCCGAATCATCAGAATGATCCATATGGCAGGTTCACAATCTCAAGTGTCTTCAACACCGGTGGGAGAAACAATTTCACCACTTGCTATGCCGAATGCAGGGGAAGCACCACAAGTACCTACCGATTGGGTGTCTTATGTTCAACAATTGAACAATCAACAAATTTTGGTCATGCAAAACATGTTGCGTGAGCAAAACCTCATGTTGCGTGACCAACAAAATCTAATGCAGAACATGTTGGATCAGACGTTCTCTAAATTCACATTACATTCAAACATGCCTCCAGCCTTGTCACATTTTTGCTTTCAGGCAACTTTTCCAGGATTAACTTTTGCAGGGCCAACATATGTTGATAATACATTTCCAAGCGTCACAACTTTCAACCGAACAGATATGGAGAAGACTCCTCTAACTTCCCCAGATAATGTTCCTTTGGGACCAAAAGTTGATAATACTCAGCCGAATATCGTAAGGGAAGAGAGATTGGAGGGACAAGCTCATAATCCCATCCCAGCCGAGCCAACCGTAACTAGAGAAGAAAGATTGGGAGGACAAGCTCACAATCCCATCCCAGCCGAGCCAACCGTCCCCAGAGAAGAGAGGTTAGGGGGACAGGCTCATAATCCCATTCCTGTATTCGACCTTGTTCCACCCATAGTAGATCCGGAAGACATCGCTCAAGTTCTGCGGGTGCATTTCGGAATGAATCCGCAAACGGTGAATAGGCCAGCATATCAAAGACCTTTTCCAAAAAGGATCATTAACGATTTTCCTCTCCCAAGTAATTATCGACCACCAGACTTTCATGCTTTCTCGGGAGAAGACGGATCCTCCACCATAGAGCATATGGGTCGGTTCACAGCACAGTTAGGAGAAGTCGGTAATAACTCTTTTTATAAACTGCAACTATTTGGTTTCTCTTATCAGGACAACTTTTTCATGGTTTGTAAATCTGCCACCTGGGCAAATACAAACCTGGGAAGGTTTAGAGATGACGTTCCATGCTAGATTCTTCAACCCTTTACCAGCCGTCTCTCTTTCCGATTTTTTGGAAATGAAACAATATCCAGAAGAGACAGCCTCACAGTTCATTGAAAGGACACGTTTAATGAAGGGGCGTTGCCCGACAGTCATTGAGGAGAGCGAAATGACCAACCTGGTGGTCAGGAATATGCATACACGACTGCGGGAGGCTTTAACAGCCTCACGACGTTCAAGATTTGGCCAGTTTAGCATCCAAGGCGGGGAGGTTAGAATTCTTTTTTAGAGAGATGCATCTACCAGGTGACGAACAAGGGGGAGGTGCCGAAGAAATGGTGGCTGAAATTATAATGCGAGATCGACCAACGCGCAGGCCACCACCAGTACGCGATAGATGGACGTCGGATCAGAGGCTGACGTGACCTCGGATGATGCAGGTCGGATCTGAGGCTGACGTGGCCTCGGATGCTGGCCTGCAAACTCCTAAACGTCCCAAGAAGTGACGCTTAGGAGTCGGGCGGGAGGAGACAAGTTGTTGAGCACAAAATAATAATAATAATAATGATAATGGTAGCAGGATCTTAAAGAAGGATGATCGGCCGATACGGAGGTTGGACAAGACAAGGTCGGGCACGGAAGATCGGACGTAATAAGGTCAGACACGGAGGTCGGATAGGACAAGGTCGGGCACGGAGATTGGACGTGATAAGGTTGGGCAAAGCAGAAGTATCGGTAGACGCGAAGGTCTGTCAAAACGAAGGTTGGGCAAAGAAGAAGTATCGGCAGACGCGGAGGTCTGTCAAGATGAAGGTCGGGCAAAAAAGAAGTATCGGCAGACGTGGAGGTCTGTCAAGAGGATAGTCTGTTGAACCAGTTATCCATCTAAGGAGATAAGGCAAATAAAGTCGGTCGGTTGGTTCGTTGTCGGATGGTTTGCAGTCGGTTGGGCCGGTCGGATGGTCCGTAGTCGGTTGGCCCGCGGTCGGACCAACTGAGGTCAGACGGAGGACGGCTGATACGGAGGTCGGTCGAAAGAGGAAGTCGGGCGAAAAAGGACGGCTGATACGGCGGTCGGTCGAATGAGGAAGTCGGGCGAAGAATGACGGTTATTACGCAGGTCGGACCAAGTGAAGTCGGACGAAGAAGAATGAGACGAACGATACGAGGTCGGACAAGAGACCAGATGGTGGTTGCTTGGTGGGGCGGCCAAGGATTCGTTTGGTCTAGCGATCAGTTAGTCTCTGGATTGGTCGCTTGGGTTATGCGGTTGGCGAGATGTTAAAGATACGTGTCAATGAATGAGGAATTGGTAGGCGGTTGCTGTAACCGACCAGGCGACGGTTCAGAACGTTTCCTTAGGGAATATTTAAGGATTCGGGTATGTTCTGAAAAATCATCTTCAATCGACATCAAATTCAAGAGAATTACTTTTGGGGATCACCACTTTATTTTCCAGTATGTAGTTTTATTTTTCTATTTTATTTATGTATCCTACAGTGTTTAGAGATTCTTAATCTCAGGCACTAATTATATCAAATTCGAAGATAATTTCCTATTTTCGGATTTTACTTTTTATTGTTCAAAAATTGCATCAACAATAATATAAATAGGTATAGATGTGATATTTTGAATATTAAATTAAATTTTAGTATAATATAAAAAATAAAAAATAAATTTTTGATTTGATTTTTTTTAAAAAAAATTAAATGAATAGTGAAGTTCGGGGAAAATCCCCCGAACAAACACGCACATTTATTATTTTTTAAATTAATAATATTAAAAATAATTTTATATTTTATATGTATAGAACTTTATATAATTATAATTTCTCTTTCCATCAAATTTATTTTTAATTTTATTTTTAATATGTCTGCTAAATTTTTCTAATTACTAATTTTAAAAAAGTTAACTAATCAATATTTATTTATTACCCCCAATTTAATACTTATTTTTTTAAAAAAATACTGCTAATTTTATTGCATTATCTCTTAATTTACTTTAATTTATAACTAAATTTTCAAAATTACTCCAAATTATCTGACACATTTTATTAGTGGCACGGTAATTAAGAGAATGATTTAATTAATAATAATGAATCATGATATTATTTTATTATTTCTTAGGTAATTAATAATATTAGTAGTTTTAAAATAAATTTAATGTATATATGATTTTAAAAAATAGAATATGTATTTAAATATTTAAAAATTTATATTGCAATAAAATTATATGCAATATAAATATCATTTTGTAGAGAATAAATTTTTTTATAATACAAGTAATAAAAAAAATACTTTTATTTATTTATAATTAACATAAACTAATTTTATAAAAGAGTTGAAGTTTTAAAAATAGATAAAAAAATTTTATATTTTGTGAAGAAAAATAAAAATAGAGGGATTTCGAGTGAGTCATACGTGATGTATGATATTATAATTTATATAGTTAATTAAGTTGGTTTATATAGTACCTTTTACCAAAAATATAGAAGTGTATTAGACAGACAAAAATGAAAAATGTGTTAATTAAGTTGGGACGGAAGAAGTATTAAATATTGATTAATGTATTATTTTATTAAACTTATAATTTTAAATTATTTTGTTTTATTTTATATATTTGTAATATTAAATTTATGTGAATATATATTTTAAAAATAAAATAATAGTATTCCCTCCGTCCCATATACTGTGTCTACTACACTATAGATACAATATTTTAGGAGGAGTGTAATTAATAGATAATTAATAATGTATTAGTAAAAATAATTATTCTATAATATAAATAATGATAAATTTAAATTAAAATAACTAATTAGTTTAATTAAAATTAAAAAAAATAAATTAAAAAATTTAAAATGAAATTAAAGTGTGTAATCATTTTTCCAAAAGAAACGACAGAAACGACAGCGTGGACATGATATTTGAGACAGAGGAAATAGTATTTTAATACATTTATATATTTACAAATAAAATAGAAAGAATTTTTTTTTAACAGCTTTAAAATTAGTAAAGTTTAGAATATATTAACATAATTATTAAATTTTACAATTTTCCTTTTTTTTCTTAAGTACCATGACAGAAAAAAAAAACAATATAAAGTAAAAGAAAAAAAAAAGAATAATGCAAAAGAAAAAAAAAATGTAAAATAGAATAAAAATAAATAAATAAAATCAAAATACTAATTTAAAACGTTAAGAGATACTAAAATTTTGAAAACTATTACTCCTTCCGTCCCATACGGTGTCTGCTACACTGTATGAAGAGTATAATTAGTAAATAATTAAAAATATATTAGTGAAAATAATGATCCTATAATATAAATAATTGTAAATTAAGATTAAGATAACTAATTAGTTTAATTAAAATTAAAAAAAATTAATTAAAAAATTTAAAATGAAATTAAAGTGTGTAATATTTTCAAAAAAGAAAAATGACATGGTATATATGGCGGAGAGAAACGACAACGTGGACATGGTATGTGAAACGGACGAAGTATTATTTTTTAATCCAATAAAACACCATCTAGACGTAGATAGCAGTAAATCTACCAGTCCAAAAACGCCGTCGTTTCACTCCCACAAACATTCAAAAACTCAACGGCTAGTTAGCTACCGTCTCATATTCAAACAGCTCTTTCATCTCCTGCAAAATAACATCCAAAAGAATCCGAATCATCATCCCAAATAGGAAAAATTATTTCAATTTCACGAAACAAAAAATCCTACAAAACAATGGTGTCTGCTCTTCACGACTCCATCGCCTCCATCTGCAAGACCATCCTACCCACCTCCTTCCGGCGGCAGCGCCGCCCCGCCATTGCCGCAGGCGAGTCGAAGCAGCAGTCCGACAACCTGAAATGGCAGCAAGACTCGTTCCACAACATCCTTAATTTGATGGAGCTTTGTAAGGAGGGCATTGTCCCTACGCATCAAGTCTCCGCTTTCCGATCACACCTTCTAGAAACTCTAATCGCCGCCCCGCCCGACCGCGAGCCGCCGCCGATTTTACGCGACAAGCTCCTGTTCTTACAGGTGCTTCCATTACTTGTAAAATCTTTGATCTTGTTTTTTGAACATATTCGAACTCTTGTTTGTTGATCTTTTTCAGGAATTGCTCTTTGCCGGATGCATATCGGAGGTCGAATACCACGCGTCGAAGAGGCCATTGTTGCAGAGGCTTGCAGTTCAAGGAGCCGAGATCGAAGCAAGAGACGTAATACTCGGGGAGCGCCGCGAGACGGTAGTCGACGAATGGTCGGTAATCGATTTGAAAGACGACGTTGTCGTCGGAGAGCCATTCGACTCGAAGATCAAACAGAGTTCAGCTGTTAGAAGAATCAAAGGTGCAGCTTTATCGGCATTCGGTTTATCGAATGTGAAAAAGAGCGAGTCGAAATCGATTTTCGCGATGGAGAACTTACCGTTAAATCGCGACGGGAGGATTCGAGTAGGATGGCTAATGAAATGGAAGAAGAATGGCTGCGAAGACGACTCGATCGAACGAGGCCTGTCGAGCTATGAAGGGAAGCTCGTCGAAAATCCGATAGCTGAAGGACCCGATACGACGCAAATCAAGCGAAAACTGAATCCCGACGCTGCCGCGACAGATTTCTTCGTCGATAAGGTAAGAACGGATGAAGTTTCGATACGAGCTTGTTCTTCTGCGGATCGACTGATGCTCGATCGTGGCGTCTGCAGGTTTTAGGCAAGAACGTGAGGAAGGAGCTTCGTCGAATCAGATTGGAATCGAAGGCGACGGATCTAACGTTTGTTTTTCGAAATGTTTCGTAGGATTATTACGGTTTTTCTCTTCTTTTTCGCGATTTCGATGTTTTTCTGTGTTGTTTTTGGACTCAGAGATGATCAAATTGAAGCGATCTCAACCAGGCTTCCTGTGGACAAGAAGGATCTCAAGAACATCTTCCCCAAGTAAGGCTTTAAACGCCATTGTAGATTGATTCAACTATCTTCATTTCGATGGATTCAAATAGGCTCAGGAGATCGAAAATCACGCAGAACATGGTGCGACAAGTACGGCGAAATCGCGCTCGACGTGGTCCGGCGAGAGTTCAAAGAGCACACGAAGCAGATGGGAAGCCGTCGAAGATTGGGCGCCAACAAGCACGTCGACATCGAAAACTCAAATCCAAATCTCGTTTCAAGAACGGTTTAAGTAGAAATGAAATCGATATTGTATCTGAGACCAATTCGACGAAAACATATCGATCGATACATGGCTCAAGATGCAAATTCCGAAACAACCGATTTTATGTACACATAAATAACATACATTTTCCCTATCAATCGATAATCCACGGAAGATTTCGACACACAGTATTAACTTAGTGCAGAGATTACGGAACTGAAAAGCTACGTCGAATCTTTACCAACATCGTCGCGGCATAGCGGGCACACACTGGAGAATCATAGGGATAATCAAAATTAGGCAAGGAAACGAGCAAAAATACGCGCAAAAATATACACTGCAAACAAGAATACATAATAAGTACCCGTGAATCTCCTTTAGCCATTTGTCGACGCACGGCATATGAAATTCATGACGGCAAGGAAGAACCCGCACCTTGTCCCCCTCCTCGTACTCGGAAAGGCAAATGTAACACCTTCACACAAGTTTCAGGCATAGCGAGTTATGTAAAATCTCGATGAAATGGTCGATTCTGTAAGAGATTACAATAAAGCATAACATCTCAAGAACGAGTGCGACTCCTATTTACTTTCCTGCGCTTGATCGACTCAAACTTAAAACAGATCATCCAAGGGAATGAGAAAACATACTGTGAAAAATCCTCTGGAGTCGCCAATTTTTCCGCCTTACTGTGAGTCTTTAATGGGAAGGAATCGACGACTAAATCTGGAGCTGGAAGCGAGATCAAAGACGAGGAATATGTAATGGGAGGCTGATGAATTTGATCCAGAACCTGAGATTACGCGTAAAATTTCACTATGAAACAGTCGTGTCTTTTTATTACAGGTTGAAGAAAGTAAAACGCTAACAAAGAAAAATCCGAGAACAATACCTCGAACAATGCTTCAGCCAGCATGACTATTCGGGAAATGCCAGCTCGCATGCTCGGTTCCACAGCTCTATGACGATGAACCGAATCTGGCGTCCCGGGAAGTCGTTGTGAGATCTGGTTTGTACGAGTAATTACAGGCGCCGCTTCCTCAAGGGAATCGTCAATCAGAAAACGAGAGTCGGATGGAGAACTAAAATCAGAACCAGAGACATCGACATCATTCTCAACAGAAACACTGTCTGAATTTTTAAGTCCATTAACAGAATCTATGCCAAACATTTCAGCCGTAGAAGCGCTATAAGGTGTCGGCTGATTCAGATTCGAAGTGCTTGCTAAGTCGTTGCCTTTAAACTCATCCATGGATCGATGACGAAGAACACGGTGACTATATTCAGACAAACATTTCCCTTTACTTTCATGACCAACAATGGAAGCTCCATTGCCGGGAGCTCGATTTTCATTACCATTCAAACAACCTTCAGCATCAATGCTAATCAGATCTTTCCCATTGCTCGAAGACAGAGTCGAATTTTTCCTCAGAGATTTCGACTTCTTTTTATCACTATGTTCTGCGGAATTCGGCAGCAACTCGTTTCGACGATCATTTGGCTACATACAGATCAACATCCAAATTGCTAACAATTAAATAAACCATAAGAACAAACCACATTCAATCAAAATTCAATACAATCTGCATATTAACGAAGAACAAATTCTGTGTGTTTGTGTGTTCATATGTAATCTGTAAGCCAAAATCATGAAATTTGAATGAAATCGCAGCAAATTCAACTTGGAAAGCCACAGATAAAGATTCCCCCCCCAAAACCCCCAAATCAGATCATATATCAAAATTTTCCAGCTTGATGAAATGCTAAAACATTGAATCAAACACAAATGGTGAACCCTAGAATTCAGGAAATTAAAAAAAACCAACAAACCACAAATTGAAATCCAACATCGGCAGCCATCGCCATACCTCGCGAGATAGAGAGGCGACGCCGCAGGCGAGAAACGAGGAGATTGGGCGCCTATCCGCCGGCCGGCGGCGGCGGCTGATGCCGGAGCCCATGAGATGTAAGGATTTATTCTTTTGAGGAAGTCTGAGGAATCTAATAATGTGTTTGACAGATTCATCACATTAATGGCGTCTGCTTAACTGTTACTCCATACGTATGCAGAGTAGAGTTAGAGTAGGTTCTCCATAAATGATTGAAGACGCGATTTTTGTGAGGAAGCAATGAGGTAAGAAGGTGGGGGGGTTTGCAGTTTGCAGATGATGTCTTAGAGTCAAATACTGTGGAGTAAAGTTGGGACATAGTCGAGACTATTTTCAGACATTATTGTATGATTTTGAGCTGGTACCTACACCAAAATGACACAAAACCTAACAAAATCGACCTGATGATGACAGATTTTGGTATGAAATACTTGCCTTCTGTATTGTGCAATGAGGCCATATGATATGTTTTATAGATTTTATTTTTTATTGTATATATTTATAATTTATATGATCAAATTTACTTTTCAAAATTTATATAATTTCAAGATATTTGCATAGACTTGCTCGTTCGGTTTGGAACCGTCGGTTTACTAACTGAACGTTTCCGTTCAAAACAAGTCGAAATCGTCGTTCCGACAGTTTGGTTTCGGTTTGTATTTGAACTAAATTGTGAACTGCCTTTTTGAAAAATGTATATTATTTTTGTTTTATTTTTTAAAAAATTCAGTTTGAACCCCTGTTTAAATAAGATAGTTTTTTTGAAAAATGAATAGCCCAGATTCAATATCTCAGATCCGACGGCTGAGATTTGAACAGCCTATTTGGGCAATATTTTTTGTTTTTAAATTTGAATGAACAATATTTTTTGTTTTTAATATTTTTTTTGAATAATGAAGATTTAATATATGTTGTAAATGAATGGATCAGATTTAATGATCGGGTATAAATAGGTGAATGAATTTTCTTCACACCAAGTTCTATTTTCATATCTCTCTCTAACTCTCACTCTAATTTACAATTATTTAATTTCTCAAGTGTTAAAGTTTATAATATTGTTTTAGTATTTTATTTTAGATAAAACTATATTTTTAAAGTAACTAATATCTATTAGTTGAACTTTTATTCATTTGTATTATTTATTTCATTAAATTATATATATCTATATTAATATCAATTAAAAAATAATTTTTAAAATAGAAAAATATCGTCTATGTCTAAAAGAAAGAGTAAATATAGAAGATTTGGATGAGCTTGAATCATTACATCAAAATCAATGCCCCGAGGCCTCTGACCTCGAGTCCGAAGCTCCCGACAACGAAGAAGAATGTGTAAGTGGAAAAACGAACAACTCATCAAATTCAAGCATTAAGATCCGATATTTTCTCAATTCATTTCATTAAGAAAACAACTTAGGTAAGTAATTGTTTTCAAGTTATATGTAATTATTATTCTAAAGTTTATAATTATAAGAATGAAGTAGGATATGAAATATTTACACTCCATATCGAGAAGAAATACCCTTTTAAAATTAGAATAAATGCATCACAAACACAAATTCGAGGACCAATGCCGTCTTTCACTTCCAAAATTGGAGATGAGGGAAGTACTTTATTTAAATATAGTAATATTACTGTTGGAAAAAAAATTAACTAAGTTAGTTTATTCTAAACATCTTTCTTTTAGATTTGCAAATGATTTACATTTTGAAAAATGAGTTACCAATGCTTACAATCCTTCAGCTAGAAGAATTTCACGCTCAACACTCACCCGTGATATTGATATAATGGTTGGTGAATGAAAATTAGAACTAATTAATGTGTTTAATAATTTACAAAATAAAGTTTCTATATGTTCGGATGTTTGGAGTGATCATTGGCAATAACTTCATTATATGAGCATTACATGTCATTGGATTGATAACTCATAGACTTTACAAAAACGTTTAATTGTATATAGAGAATTTGATGTAGAACACATCGCAACAAATATTTCTCAAAAGATATGATCTATTTTGCAAGAATATAATTTACTTACAATTTTTTTTTTTTTTCAATTTCATTTGATAATGCAAGTGCTAACACGGCTAGTTTAAATTCTCTTATTAAATTTTGTCAACCATCAATTGGTGGTAAATTTTTTCATATTAGATATTTTTGTCATATTTTAAATTGATGTGTTCAAAATGATTTATCTTATTTGAAAGAGCATGTGCATCCTATTTAAACAAACAATTTTTTTATCTAGTAAGACATGCCTCGTTATTAAAACGATGAAAAAGATATTGTAAACAAAATAATTTACAATCCAAAAAATTTTCGTTTGATGTTTCAACTTGATAAAATTCTACTTATAAAATGCTATGTAGTTCATATGAATATATAAATACACTATGATTTTATTTTTTTTTTTTTCACGAGAAGTATTATGACTCATTATTTTATAAAAAAAGATAATAAAACTCCTGATCTTACTTCAATTGTCTATGAAGCAAAACAACTTTTAATAAATATTTTTAGAGAATATAAACATCAATTTGGTGATTGTAGAATTGATTATAGCCGAAATATTGATACTAGTTCTATGTTTCTTACAATGATAGTTCATCTCAAACTTTATAATTTTTACTTTTTTTGTGATTTTTATAATGTAAGATGACACAAATGTTCTAAAGAAATTTAAAACCCATACTTAGAATTAGAAACTTATTTAATAACTACTTTTGAATACAGTGAAACTGAATTGAAAATTTTGATATTTTGAAATGGTGGTCTAAAAGAGCCATCTACTTTAGATTAGCATGTAATATTTAAAAGAACTATATGACTTTAATTCTAATTGAATACGTAGGCAATATAAATTTAAAATCATATAATAAAATATATAAAATCATAATTATAAGATAAAATAATATAATTTATAAATAAAAATCATAAGTTAAAAAAATTTAAATTTTTTAATTTAAATTATCACTTAGATAATTTAATTGTTTGAACAAATAATTCTTCTAAAATTTATAATATTATTAATAACATAAAAATTAATAAAACTGAATTGTTTTTTAGAAGTTAGAAATATTTTTGAAATAATAAACTTAAAATTTTTTAAATAATTTTTTTATTTATATATTTACAATTACATATATTTTTTTAATAAAATAACTACTTAAATAATTTTTTGTTTACTTGAAAATTCAATTACCTTTTGGATTAAAAAATAAGTTAAATAAATATTTAAAAATTAAATTTTTTTGGATTATCTAATTAAATAAGTTATAAATTAAATTCTGATGTAAATGAATTAAAAAATAATCTTAGTTTTAAACAAAATAATTTTAAAATTTTAATAGTGTAATTTAATTTACAAATCAACTTATTTTAGGCTTTTACTAATTAAATTACAATATACATTAAAAAATTTTATTCTTAATTCTTAATTAATAAATTGATAAATAAGCTATATATTATATATTTGATGTCTGTGTGAGTCCATTCCACCAATTTTTTTTTTTGTTTTTTTTTTTTTTGATTTTTTAATAAAAATGATTATATTAATTAGTATAATTAATAGATTACTATTAATATTATATAGTTATTATTGGTATGATTAATGAAATTATAGCTAATAAATATATTTATTAAAATTCAAAATTTATTATTATTATCTATATATTATATACATAATTTAATATATTCATTATGTAATTTATTACCTGTATATTCTATATTTGAGGTCGGTGTGGGTTTCATTCGACAAAAACTTTTTTCTTATTTTTCTGATTTTTTAATAAAAATGAATATATTAATTAATAGAATTAATAGGTTACCATTAATATTATATAGTTATTATTGGTATGATTATAATATATTTCGTATTTTATGTTTCTATGTATTCGTTGATGTTTGATTTTTCGTATTACTTTTATAATATTATTTAATAATTTTATATTTTAATGTTCCACTTTATATAAAATGTGCATATTTTTTTTTTCAATTTTCTTTTTATTTTTCGTTAATAGTACGAATTCTATTTAAAAATTAAAAAAATAATAATAAAAAGTATATATAGAAATTTAAGTAGTAAAGAAAATTTACAAAAATTAAATACAATAATGTAAATATTATTATATATATATTAATTAATATTTTATTACTTCTAATTTAAATATGTAATTAATGATAATTATGTCCGTAATTAATAATTTTTTTAATTTTTTGAAATTCTTTACAATTTTTAAAATTGATTTAATAATTTTTAATTCTTATTTAAACATGTAATTAATAATAATTATATTTGTAATTAACATAACTCAATACTATAAATGTCTATAATAAAGTCATATTCAAATCTTATTTTTACACATCACAAACCTTATATATCAAATAGAATTTAATTATTTAATTGACTTATCTAAATATATCTACCATATGAATAAAATTTATATATTCTCCTAATTATTTTCCTATTTTATTCATGATTTAAATTTATTTGAATGTATATTTATTATAATATAACTATGAGGTTTAAATGAATTTTATACATATTTTTATTACAATATTCATAATTAAAAAAAAAAAAACTATAACTAACCAAATTTATAAAAATAAAAAATTTGATATAAAATTTATGATATTGTATAAAGTATAGAATATTTTTTTCTTTCTCTTTTAATTAAATTATTTATTTTAGTTTAAAAAATACGTATATACTATGTTATATATTTATATATTCAAATAAACATATATGAATTTTGAGTAATTTGTACAAATTTATTTGATTAAGTTTTAAATTATTATAACTAAAAAACAATAATTATTTCAAATATGAACAAATTGTTAAATATAAAGGTATATTTTGAATCTCATAACAATTTTTTTTTTTTTTAATTTGTTAAATTTATTTTTATTTTATTTTTTAGATTTTTTTTCTTTAATTATGAATTATGATTTGAATTTAGTTTTGAATAAGAGTAATTTCGAATTTACTTATAAAATTTTATAAGTTTTATAAGTTTTGAATTAAAATTTTATCTTGATTATATAATAATTTTTTATGTTCATCTAACTTTTGCTATTTTATTTATGATTTATATTTGTTTGATATATATTTAAAGAAAATATGATATATATTTTTTTAGTAATAATGGTAGTAAATAAAGATTAATAGTTAAATAATTTTTTTCCTACACAAAATAAATAGAATAAATTTAACGAAAAAATAAAAAAGAAAAATATTAAAAAATTAATAAATAAAAAAATAAAATATAAAAAGGTCGTGCATCGCACGAGTTTCCCACTAGTTATTTTATAAAACGAAGTATTATTTATATAATTTTTCACAAAATACAAAGATTTAGTAAATTAAAATCAAAATCAAAATCAAAATTAATCGTAAAAATTAAAATTAAGAAACCGGGAAAAAAAAAGTAATATAAACTAACGGTTCAAACCGTGACCGACGGTTTTCAAAGTGGAACCTTCAGTTTATAAACCGGAATAGAAACCGTCAAACCTTAATCAAAATCGTCGTTCGAAAAGTTCGATTTCAATTTGAAATTCTAACAAACCGTAACCGACAGTTTGAATCATTCGTGCAAGTCTAATTACCACTATAACTTTGTTTTTTCCTTATATTTTAATTTTAATGTATCACCGCTACAATTATTTTTTTTTTATTTAAAATATTTTTAAAATAAGAAAAATATTGCATTGGACATAATAAATTAAGTAATGCGATAGAATAATCAACAACCCACATAAAGATGTTTTTATTGGAATGAATAATATGTTGCTGAGAAATCGGCTTTCTTTACTCAACACATTTTTACTCATATGATACTATTTATTTTTTAAAAAAATATTACATCAAATATATTTTTTTTCTAAAAAAAAAACATCAAATCAAATACTAATTTTTAACTTTTTACAAACTTTCAAAATTCTAAAAACCTCCAAAAACCTAAATCTAAACAAAGCCGAGAAAATTATTGTATACAGTGAGATGATATACTATGCATTACATCTATTACATTTTCATAGTGTCTCTGGTAATAACGTTTTATCCTCTAGAGTAAAACGATTTTTATTTTTAGATTTTATACAATACAATAATAAGTCGAAACTCCAACCAACAAAATTAGTGTTAGGAACTAATTAGCTGTGCAATGCTGTTGAAGGGAAGACAGAAAGCTCAAGGAGAGACAATTAAAATGCTACGTAAAGAAGTACTTCCTCCGCCGTCCAATTGTGTGCTCATTTGACCGGACACATGTTTTAAGAAAAATATGTAAGAATAGAAATTTTTATTTTTTTTTGGTAAAAAAAAAATAGTATTTTTCTACTAAATAAGGAAACGAGAATAAATTTGGATGACAACCAAAAAAGAAAAGTGATAATAGATTTGAATGATAGAGGAAGTACAATATATTGTAACTCTATATATTTCTTTTTTAAAACCAACAAATTTAGAAAAAAAACGAAAGCCCCTACTTATAGGATCGAAACTATCAAATAATGGTTATAATGATAAAAAATAATAATAATAATATACTTTTTCCGTTCGGCAAATTTAAAACTATACAAACGTTCAAATTCATATTCAATTTCATGAATTTGCATTGAGCAAGGTAAGCAGGTTTTTATATGGGGTAAATTATATAACACATTCCCGTGTGTTTTAGTAAAAATGCACAGAACATCTTATGTTTTATTTATGGCGTGAAACCTCTTTGCGTTAATGTAAAGTTTGCACGAAATACTCTATTTGTCTAAAACTGATGTTTTGTTCTAAATTAAGACCTAAATTACGCATTTTTTTATACAAATAAAAAACGTAAAATATTTTAAATAGTTTTTTTTAATAAAATAAATAAATAAATAATTGATTAATCTTTCATTTTTATAGTTTTTTGAAGACAAATCGTTATCTGACTTTTACAAAAGTTAAAAAAATAAATAATTCAATTATTTATTAATTTATTTTATTCAAAAAATTATTTAAATTTTTTTACGTAATTTATTCAAAAGTTATAAAACTTGTGTAATTTAGGTATTTATTTAGAACAAAATATCAGTTTTGGACAATGAGAGTGTTTCATGCAAACTTTACGTTAACACAAAGGGGTTTCACAAGCACAAAGTATTTCGTGCATTTTTACTCTCGTATAATTTAACCTTTTATATATATAATTTTATGGTCACAAAATTATGTTTCGTTAGGGCTATGAAAATGGACATGTTTAGTTTTATAAAGCCAACTCGAAGTTCTTATTTTCAAACCCACGATTATGACACAATCTGGTTTGCATGCATATGATATGGCTTTCTTGCCAATCAATTTATGTCTCCTATACAAATTCAATTTAATTCACTATAATTAATTAATATTTCAATTCAATGATAATTCTATAAATTATTTTTCATGACAACTCACTAACAATCCATTAAGATATTAATTGATTACCAACAAACACAACATCAATTAAGATAACTTGATTACTGTTTATTACTCCATCCGTCCAATTTATATTCTCCTAAAGTATATTTGTACGATTTTTTTAGATGGTTGTTTTTTTTTATGAATTGACAAATTTGCCCTTAATTATACGGTAGATATTAATATTAATAAATAAACAAAGAGTAAAAATGTAAAATTTGTGTTTAAAAAATGAAATAGAACAATAGTTGTTGGACGTCCCAAATAGGAAAGTAGGACATTAGTTTGTGGACGGAGGGAGTATTATTTTTTTTTGACGTGAAAATCTGCAGCCGCTATCCGAAAATGCGCACTGAGTAAATCTCCGACCGAAAGATAACACGATTATTTCTCATGCAAACATTAATCTTTGCACATATACCTTTCGGCCACACCAATCTAATAAAAACACCGTAATAACAACACATTTAACAAACAAACAAAAATGTCACAAACCTCAATACCCAAAACTAAAAAATATCAAAAAAATTAATCAAGTAATCACACAATAATACAACTCGCAAACATCGATCGATCTTTGACGTACAAACTTTCACATGATCATAATGTTCCATTGTTCCTCCAAAGTCCAATCTACATAACAACAATTTTATCAAATACCTATTTTTCATAGAAAACAATCTTGCACTCGGATCATTCGAGCAACACAACAATCTTTCTATTTTGGCCCTTAGAACTCCAAAGTTAAACGATCATGTATGTTCCAGTACACGATAAAGTTTTGAAACTCGCCTACGAAGAAGTGGCTCAAGTCGAAAGGAAGAAACATTATGTTGCCATTTTTTCGCCTCGTACATCTCATTCCATGCTTGCACTATCTCGTCGATGTTGAATCCCATCCCTACAATCACATTTCAACGACGAGGATCAATTAGGATCCGTGTTTCCTTAGATTGTGTTTGATAATTTTTCTTTCAAAACATCAGATCACAATATATATATTCTACTGTCAATATTCATTTCAAAATCTTTATATAAAAAGAAATAATTTTCTTTATAATCTCTTATCATTTCGGTCATTTAAATATTTTCTTTGTTCTAATGGTTATTTTGCGTGCGATAACCACAACCATTAGAACGTAATTCACTTAAATGACCAAAATGATAAAGAACAAGCACTGTAATACCAAAAATTACGTCGTATACCAATCTCAAAACATCGATAAAAACAAAAGAAAACCGAAAATAAACATACACACCTTCCAATTCAGGGCCGGTCGAGCAATGATTCTTGATCATGACCGAAATGTCGGTCTTCGAAGCTCCAGCGCGGTCGAACTTCTCGATGGCATCCTCCAAACACTCTTCCCACACAGGACACCCCAGCTTGTACTCCATCATCGATCTCTCGTACATAATTGTCCCCCACAAGACATATATCTGCGACCTGAAGTTCGTCGCCTGGTCTTCGACTTCATCGGGAGATATGTCCTGAAACAGTCCCTCGATCTTCATCTTCTTGAGCGTCGACTTGATTCTACTCTTCTTGTATCGATCCCTCACCCGTTGCTTCTGCTCCTCCTCCCACATCTTCATCCCCTTCTCCATGTTTGCCTCCGCGTAATCATAAAGCATAAAAACATCGCCCGAATCCCATGTTTCGACATCCACGCCTGCGCTGATGGCGTAATACCACGACAGCTTCGCTTGCTCGAATTGCTGCTGTCCTAAAGCCAGCACAGCTTCATAGAAGCTTTCCTTAATTTGCAAAGCCTCTTCATATCTTTGTCCGGCTGTCGCGAACTCGTTTTGCGCCCATTCATGCGCGCGGTTGATCCTCTCGGCCATGGAGTCGCGCGAGGATTCGCCGGTGTCGTAGACGCGCTTTCTAGCGCGCGACATGTGGACGTTGCCGCAATTGAATAAGGCCAATGCCGCCATTTCCAAGAACTTTTCGGATGCGAGGCTTAGAAGCTCTTGCGCCTCTTCGCTCGTGATTGTCTCCTCCATCGCCTCCGAGTAGAGCTTCATTCCTACCTCGTGGATGTCGATGTAGGCGTCGATATCAAAGCCCACGTAGTTCTTGAAGAATTGCGCGAATTGGATGATCCAATCCGCGATGCACGTGGATTCCTTTCGTGCTATTTCTTTCAAGCTTTCGCCTTTTTTGTTCGCGACGATGATTCTTTTGTTGTTGTCGATCCTCTCGGATTTAGACTTGAGAAAATGCCGGTCGCGGTTTTGATTGCCTTCGAAAATGTATAGCTTGAGGGTGCCTTGTGGTGTATTTGATTGAGCCCATCTTAGCTCTTCCGTCGTGGCGATTATCACGAAATCGCCTTCTTGATCCTTGTATTTAACGACGCCCCCTTTCACACTAGGGAATCGATTTGAAATTATTTCGCCTAGTCGTAATATGTCTAAGTTCGCGGAAGCTTGCGCCATTCGAATATCTTCTCCGAACACTAACTTCAACGTTACTCTAGGCTCACCATCCGCGATGGTGCTCGCCATTTTTTCTTCGACTACAACTTTGTCTTCGGTGTTCTTCTCCTCGACCAAATTCTCGGACACACTCATCAAAACCCCTACATCCGACTTGTGTTTGTCTAATACATCTCTCGCCTCCTTATCCTTGTGGCTCGGCGTTGGTGCTGGCGTTGGCGCTTCGCTAAACTCGCCCTTTATCGCCTCCTCGGCTACTTCTTTTGCTTTCATTTTCATCGACATTTTGCTTTGATCTAAAGGACTAAAACCTCCATCTAACCTTGATCCTTGCCTATTCAAGGCTTTCTTCAATCTTTGCTCGATCTCAGTCGCCATTAGATTATTCGGCTCCACTTTAAGCACGTTTTCGATATCTTTAATCGCCATATCAATCCTATCCATGGCTTCATAACATCTAGCTCTTTTCAAGAGTGCCTTACTATACCCCGGCTCGGCTTCGAGCGCCGCATCGCACTCACGGATCGCCATCGAATACTCGCCACGCCCCATTTGCATGTAGCATTCAGCCATGTTGCATCGAATGCAAGCAATGTCGGGATGGTTCGAAGGAAGCAATTTTATGGCCTTATCGTACTTGATCAAAGCACCCTCGTAGTCCCTCATTAGAAACCATCTGTTGCCCTCCTCCTTTAGCTCTTGAGACATGGAAATGAACATGGCAGTTTCTGAGTTGTGATAATTAGGGCTAGGGCTCCTCCCTATTGCCCTAATTTGTCTCAGATTTAACTCACGCCATCTGTCTCCAGATGGACCTACACCACCCCCCCTACCCACCCTCCCCTTCCAAGTGTTCTTCCTCATGCTCATATCCCCCCAAAAAAATTGAAATTGAGAAAACCCTAGATTTCTCCTACGCCCCCCACCCCAATGCTTTGATTTAATTTTGAGATTTGAATAGGTTTTTCGAGATGAATTTAATCCAATTGAATCGAATCCAAGGTGGTAAGGATATGCACAAACAAAGGAATGTAAAAAATTGATGATCAAGAATTGCAGAAAATGTGATGTATGATGTACAGGAAAGGTATTGAATTAATAAATAACACACCCCAGAAATGATGAAAAAATTGTCATACGATTGATTCGAATATGTGATGGGGAGAATGGAGGATATATAGAAAAGATTTATATCTTGACTCTTTTTGAGGCTCTTCTGGAAAACATTGATATGATTTTGCTGTCTATGAAGAACTGTAAAAAATCTGATTCAAACCCAGCAAAAGTTTCTTTAGATTTTCATCGAAAATCAAGAAACTCTTTGGTTTGTTATGAGATTATGCAGTTGTGGATATGTGCAAATGAGAAATTACAACCAACAAAAATAGTTCCTATGTGATAAATAAGATGAATTACAAATTAGCCACTTCTAAATATGGAATAATATTTTTTATTAAGAAAATTATCGAAAATAAAACGAAAACTAATTTGAGATTCATTTTTAAAAAATAAATATAAATATATATATATATATATATAGGTTGTCTTTGGAGCAACGAAACTATACCATAATTTTGTTTGTTTAGGTAACATAAACGTCTATGCCACAACTAGACGGCGGATTTAGATTTTTTTTTTTTTTTTTTTTTTTTTTCAAACGGTGACACAATAAAAAAATTACAAATAATAACATTAATTTTAATGAAACATCAATTATTAATAATAAAATAAAAATAAAAATAATATAAATATTATTTATAGATATATATTTTTTAATTTAAATTAATCATTTTAATTGGATTAAATTTTAATTATTTGCCTATTCTTAGTTATGTGAATCAAGCAAGGCAGGGCAGCATTTTAAATTTTAGATAGTCAATTTTTTTTTTTTTTTTAATGAATAATACTCCCCCGTTCCATAACAAAGTATTTATTTTTTCATTTTAGTCCGTCCCATAACAAAGTATTCGTTTTCTTTTTTTAGTAACTATACTATTTACCTAACATTCAGATACCCTTACAATTTACAATATATTACAAAAATGTCATTACATTTATATCACACATGCTAACAAGGTTATTTTAGTCATTTCTACTTTATTTCTACTATATCCTAATATAATACTAATATTTCTAAAATACGTGCAAAAAGCAAATTAATACTTCGTTTTGGGACGGAGGGAGTAGTAAATATTTCAAATTTTAAGTCGGGCATTAAAATTTATAGTGATAATACAAATATTAAATTATAAAAATTTTGTTTTGATAGAATAAAATAGTTGGTGGTACCGAAGGGTAGCAAATTAGGTTGGCTCTGTGCAATATTTTGGGCTGAAAAAAATGAATTCCAAGCACGGTCCAATTTCAAATCGATCCGGATCGGACAAGTCAGTTTGGCCCACTTTTATTTTTAAAATCTTTTTAGTTATTTTTTAATTCTAAAATAATTTAATAAAACTTTAAATGTCAAGTGTGAAAATTGAACTTTGTAAGTTGTAACCTCGTACCTACGACACAAAACTAAAACATTATATTACGGCTGTAGCTGTTTGACACGTGGATTTCGAGATGAGATTTGAATAGTAAAAATTTTGAATTTGAATAGTTGGATGATATGATATAAATATGTGTTAGATGTGATATTTTGAATGTAAAATTAATTTTTAGTATGATATAATAAATGAAAAATAGGTGTTTGATTTGATGTTTTTGGGGAAAAAATTGAGATGAATAGTATATTAAAAATCTAATCCCCCAAACAAACACACCCTACATTTTTGTTTTTAATATAAATTCATTTGTTAGGAATAACCCGGTTCATTTTTGTTTTTAATATAAATTCATTTGTTAGGAATAACCCGGTTCATACTGGTGACGAGCCAAGTACGACCCAAATTTTTTTGAGCCTATTGTTTTTAGGTCCAAGCACTACTTTTTTTTTTTAAAATTCGAATCGAATTTTTGAACCGTATCTATTTTTTCCAGCTTAATAGTACGTGCCATCACTCCGTGATGCTTAGGGAAGGAGTATTTCACAAAATATCTTATTAGTGATAAATTATTGTATTTTTAGGGTGCGATTATTGTATTTTTTAGGGTGTGTTTACCCTTATAATTCTATATTATTTTATGATAAAATAATTCAATATTTACTATAATGCATTGTTGTATAAACTTATTAATTTTCCCTAAAATAAAGTTAATTATATGATAAAATTAATAGTAAGTTATGTATTAATCATATATAAAATAGCCTTTTTACATTAATTATACCTTAATATTACTTAATATCACTTATAAAAGAAGGATAAATAATATTTGATTATATTATTATTATATCGGGCTTTACTTGATCCCGAATTATAGTAATGCATAGTAAATACATGATTAAGTTAGATAAAATAACAGAAAAATAATCAAAGAAAAGACGGCACAAACGAGTTGTATTGACTCAAGATCGATTCAACATTATTCTACAAATACATAATAAGAACAGAGGAAAAGAAAATGTAAAGAAAAGAAGATAATTTTGTGGGTTGAGATGTTCCATCTCCTCCCTTGCACGGCTTGCTTCTTTCATGGCAAAAACATCATTTGTCATTCCGTAACGCTCACATTAAACTCTCCGAAACGTTCACAAATTATTGCAATCACTTAAGGCCACTACCTCCTTCATAATTAACCAATTAATTGCCATTGTTTTCACCACATAATTGATCGATTAATGAAGGTAGTGGTTCCGATCAAAAAAAATAAAAAATTAAGGTAGTGGTCATTTAATCTATTGAGTTGAATGAAAAATCGAACAATTAATTTATCGATCAATCCTAGAGCTCCATGAATAATCGATTGGGTTGGACTATGGTTTATTTTGCACTTTATACATTGGCCATTAATCTAAGTCGATTTGATCCAATCGCCTGACATTCTTCAACATCGGCGATCTGCTATTGTCGATAGAATTTTTTTTTTATGTGGCAACATAATGCCTCCTATATTTCACAAAATATTGAATATTAGACATATGAAATGAATTTTGCGAAATATACATACCTAAATCGCCCAAGGGGAACAACCGATTGACTTGCCACAAAAATGATAGCTCACCGCAATAAGTTTTCTTTTATTGGATCCACTTGGCAACCAATTGTACCAACAAATGCCTTACTAAAGTTGGCGACAACATCCGATGCCAACTTCATATAGAGAATAGTGCAATTTGACCCAATCTCATCATACTTTCCCTTCTCGACTTGATTAGAATGATCAACTCCAAATTAGACATCATGGACCGCAGTATGTGCGCTCGACAAGCTATTTTAATCGACAATAGATGCTCAGCCACCTTTCTTGCCAGCCTGAACTTTCCCTTAGAAGAGTAATCAAAACATCGGCGAGTCAAGCCTTTTAACCGCCAGCGATCAAGATCAGAAAGTTGGGCGCAAAATTAGCTTGTTCCATCATATCGCCAAGGTTTATTTTCAACAATGTATCATGATCCCCGATCGTTAGCAATATCCACAAAGCTTGAAGGAACAACTCAAACCCTCTATTTTTCTTGCTCGAACAATATCATTAAATTTTTACTTGGTCTGCTCGTCACTGAATCCACGGTTTTATTTCAAAGCCAGCTGTGTTTAGAATGCATTCCACGCCAAGTCCATTATTACGCAACTTGCCAACTTCTTGTATGACGCCCTGCCTACCAGTTTTATATTTTTCCTTTTTTTTTCACTATTTTAATGAATCGCCACTTGTTCAAACTTCTTGGGAGCATTAGAATGTCGAGCCGAAAGTCTGGAACTAATTGGTACCCACTTTTTGATTGGCGATTGGGTTTTCGAAGATCGAGCACTAATTGGAACCTATTTTTTGCATGATCGCTTTGGCGACTGCTAAAAAACTATCATTTTTCATTTTGGACATTTGGCGATTAAGTCAAACTTCTTTTTGCTCATGGCGACTCGTGATTTGCTCAAATCCTCTCATTGTCGCCCATTTCCTTTCGCCACAGCCCGTTTGGTGACCAAGTTGACTTCTTTTCCGCCCATAATAATTTGTGACTTCTCTAGATCAACTCGCCGCTGCCAAGCCACCCATTTGGCGACCAGATTGAACTATTTTTCGTTTATGGCGGCTAATGACATGTTCTGATCCTCTCGCCGCCACCCGTTTCCTCTCGCCACAGCTTGTTTTCTCACATTTTTGCGTAAAATAATTTGATTGATCGTATGATTTTTCCAACATGCGTTCATTTTGAAATTTTTTCGCCAGTCTTTTCCTTTGGAAGCGTCTCTTTTGCGTCCGTGTAAAATGTTTCAACCCTTGAACCATCGGCACCTTATGGTTTACAAACCATTCATCCGACTGTGGTACAATGCGGTTTCTGTTGGGACTGGGCCAATTCAACGCTAGTATGATATTATCTACTTTGGGCTGAGCCCACACGAATTTGTTTTGGACTTCCTCCAAAAGGCCTCATATTAGTGGAGTTTATGTGAGACTTATAAGGTGTGGATTTTTCTTTTCATCTTTCAATGTGGGACTTGGGTTTGCACTTCAACAAACCTCCCCTCAAACCAAGGACCAACCAATTGACCTTCCCTGCCCATCTTGTACCGCCTATCACAAAGGGTCATCAGGTCACAAGGGCGAGCCCACCACCACAACCAATGTTCAATGCTACTCAATCCACTTCACCATCGAACCGGACTCTAATACCACTGTTGGGACTGGGTCAACTTAACACTAGTATGATATTGTCCTCTTTGGGCTAAACCCGCACAAATTTATTTTTGGACTTCTTCCAAAATATCTCATACTAGTGAAGTTGATTTAGGACTTATAAGGTGTGAAATTTTTCT